GCTCAGTGGGAATTCAATTTCTTGTCTCCCTGACCTTAGTAAACCACTCAACCCATTGCACCTCATATGCTGTAATGAAGTCAGAAGCTAAAAACATCAACCCCAGAGCAGCAGCATCAAGGGCGCAAAATGAACTGGAATCTTAATATCTTAGAGAATTTTCCAAACTCATTTGTTTTGTAACCTTCCAAAGTTAAAGAGAAATATGATTACATACAGTACAGTGAGAGCCACAGTGGAATAGAGGTTAAGATGCTGGACTAGGAGTGGACTAGGAGTGGACTAGGAGTGGACTAGGAGTGGACTAGGAGTGGACTAGGAGTGGACTAGGAGTGGACTAGGAGTGGACTAGGAGTGGACTAGGAGTGGACTAGGAGTGGACTAGGAGTCTTTCCCTTTTAACCGAAATTAGCATTAGGCTCTGTAAAAGCCAGCTGATAAATAAAACCCCTCATCACATCATGGATTAATAAGCTTTGCTGTAAAAACTAGCAGTGCAAAAACAAGTGCACGCTGCTGCCTATGTGGGATAATCACTAAGAAAAACAACATTAACATACCCACTACAGATAGAAGTACAATAGCACATGGCTGGCAGAGACCTGGCACACACAAAATGGGCCCACATGTGTGTTTTTACTTTCGGGAGCTGAAGGGCAAAATTGTATCCACAATGAAAACTTCAGCCACAGGAAGAATAAGAAATATTCCTAATAAGAAATACTAAACCAAGAAATTAAGGGATGAGGAAAGAAAGAGAAAAGGAAATATAGGTAAACTTAGTTTAGATTAACGTGACCACCTTTCTATTTTGATAGTTCACCCTTCCTTCTACCACATTTATAGTTTGGAGTTTGTTAACCAAGAAATTAAGGGATGAGGAAAGAAAGAGAAAAGGAAATATAGGTAAACTTAGTTTAGATTAACGTGACCACCTTTCTATTTTGATAGTTCACCCTTCCTTCTACCACATTTATAGTTTGGAGTTTGTTTTCCTTTTTTCAGCTTGTCTTAGGGATGTAGTCTTGATGGTGGTTTCAGCTTTTTTCT